TCCGGAAACATCTCTTTAGGCTTCGACAATTGGAACACCCGCCGAGAACATCACACAGCTCGTCGCATCTTATTTTGAGGGGTGTAATAAGTTCCTATGTTTCTCCTACATTACACACCGCTGGTAATCTTCCTTGACGTCGAGACTGCTTTCGAGACGAGTCGAGTTTTCTTCTATCTCACACACGTCCAAGAGTCATTATTGCATTACTCTGCTTTCTCTTCTTCATTGTTACGCCCTTTATTTCTAGATGTCGCCAATAAAAAGTTCAATCTCCGTCTCAGTACAATCCTGCCTGTTCTATAACTTTTTGTTTAAATTTTTCATCAACTTCAAGCCTGTACCAAAGATAAACCAAATCTAGCCAAACCCGAAACGGCCTGAAGGGGCGGAAAAAACTCTGCATCCAACTCAAAGAAGTCGCTGAATAAAAAAAAAAAAAAAAAACTCTGAGCCTCAACTTTCAACAAAACCTACCCCCTTTTTTTTTGCTAACTCCGGATCCCACTCGAAAACCAATATCTGAAAAAAAAGAAAAAAAAAAAAAAAAAAAAAAAAAAAAAAAAAAAAAAAAAACTCTCAGCCCTCCTCTTTCCACAAAATCTACCTTTTTTTTCCTTCTTTTTTCCCCTTTTTCATTTTTGCTAACTCTACATCCAACTCAAAACTAGTAGCCGAAGAAAACCCTGATAACATTTTCAACCAAATCTTCTTCCTTTAAATCCTGACCTAATTATTAATTATACAGGAACGAACAACTCAACTACGCCTCATTTCAAATTAGTTGGTGAATTGCAGTCTGCCAACACCTTATCCCAGCCAATTACATAAAAAATAAATAAATAAATTATACTGGGCGCAACAGAACGTTCTTTATCTATAGCATGAGAAAACCTCAAGGTAATTTCCTCTTCCTGATAAAAAATATCAAAAAACATTAAGCCCCGACAAAACATCTCCTACAATGCACAATATATTTGTGTACATCTTCCATTCGCATAACACACAATGAACCCACATAATGAATTTTCGAGTCAAAATTTATTTTACAAAGCTGCCTCCCATACAGAAACAATCTTAACTTTCGCTTCAAGTCTTTAACGAAACTCCGCTTTCTGCACCAAGTTCCCATTAAAGAAAACCCAGTGGCCAAGTTCTCATTAAAGAAATTGAAAAAAACTTCACTTTACTACTAACACAGAAAACCAAAAGGTCCTATTTTTTGCTTCTTATCTCATATTTCCGACGCCTGCTTCGTATCCCGACCCGATATTTTGCCGATCAGTTTCCTGTCAAAAAATCCACAGTTAACCCCTGAGACCCGAATTATTACATAACATTCAAGCGGTCCAGAGTTCGAATCCCAGCGTGGGTGCGGCGGATTTTCAGTTCCTGACTTCGAAACATTTTAAGTCTCTATAACCGGCCCCTGAACTAAGAAACGTGCTGGATGATAATTCATTACCACTAGCAATTGGCAATTGTATCCCCTAACTCCTAGTCGCTCTTTAGAGCGGGAAGTACATAAGGTACTTTTCCCTCCTTTCTGCATGCCTTCGAGGTGTAACTGGAAGTACATTCGATGCGTATTCGGGAGGTCCGGACTTCGAATCTCGGCAAAAAGCACTTGAGATTTATCTTCATAACGACACCGAAAAATTCTAAACGACTTCATACAGCAATTTTAAGCTTTTCAAGCATTAAATCTGTACTTATTCAGAACAAGAAACTGATATTTAACCAATATTCTCTCCAAAGATAATTTTTTTTATCCTGTTGACTAAAAATACCTTTGCAAATAATGTTGCTGTAATTGTAATCTGTCTTTTCGCATGAAACTGATAACTTTTTCTTTTGACCCTAATATTACTTTCCTTGTCCTTAAGCGTAAAATTATTCCCTGAGTAACTTTTTTTATATGGCAACAAAACTTTCAATAAAAAAAGATGAGATTTCAGAAGCGTAGTTATGGTTTTCAGCGCCTAGGGACAACTGAAGATTTTGCGCCCCTTTCTGTGTGCCATGAATGGAAAACATTGCATTCTAAAATTTTGTGACATCATTTTTGCGCGCTTTGAATGCTGCGCCCGGGAACACATGATCCCCCTTTGCCCCACCCTAGCTACGCCACTGGTAAAGACGAATATTATTTTAAGAGAAAGGAAAAGGAAAGCGATATAAATTAAGAAACAAGTATCTATTAAAAAAACAAAACAGATGAATACTTAAGACAGGAATGTGAGCTATTAACAGAGTAAGAAATTTTTATCCAGTGTAGATTTTAACCGAAGAAATAGTTTCGAGTTATAAAGGAAAAAATGAATTTAACACTTACAAAGAATGTATATAACACACTTACAAAGAATTTATATGCAAAAAAATAATTGCATGCTTGACAGAATTCAAGTAGGATTCTAGTTTGCTTTAAAAAAATCGTTCTAAAACGTGCCTCTCAAATAAGTAACCCTGGAGGTATTTTTTTTCTTTACAGGTTCTCAGATTTCAGTTTGTTCATAATTCCAAAATGTATTTAATTCGAAATATTGAAAATAAAAGCCCCGAAAGTTTTAAACTGAATTAGTTATTAATGATGATGTGTAGTTCTTGCGGCCAGTAGGATTTATATTCATTTTCTTTTGAATCTTAAGAATTTTATTAGGTATAATCTCATTTCGAATATATTCAAGTTTTCTCATTAGGAAAAGGGACTGGTGTATTATCCAGACTTCAAATATTAGAGTTTAGAAAATAAAAACTCGTGTGATACTACATTATTTACACATAATATGCAAACTAATTTTTATTTCTTTAATGGATTAAAATTATTAATTATTTTCCTAGAATATAATTGCTATAATTATCAAATATTACAATAGTAAAATACCAGCATCTCTCCTTTATTCTTGCTGTTATGATTAATAATTTTGAACACCTTAATTTGTTTACTTTATTACTCCAGTTTTAATAAAAAGTTAAAAAAGGAAAATGCTACTAATAAAGTTTCATTATGTAAAAAATATTTTGAATGTTGAAAAAGGTTTTATTCTTACATTTTTCAAGATATTTTATAAGCTTTAGTTTATTTTAGAATCTATTGAAAGCTAGAGGTAAAAATAGTTCTGAAGATCAGAAGAAAATAAAATATACAAACAGGCTTATAATTTACTCACTTTTATGATGTGATTAAATTTGGAAATGAAAACTATTACATGTAGGCGGGGTGATGTCGAGTATATATATCCATATGTAAGATAAAAAAATACGTAAAAGATAAAGTGCAATTTAAATTAGCAATCGACTTTTCATTGCTTATACTAATTTCCCCTCTCTCTTCTAAAAATAGTAATTTCTACTTTGCTTTTCACCATTTCGAGACTGATCCATATCATATGACTCTTGCTTAACTCTGATGATGTAATTGGAACTAAAACTCAAACCGCTAATCATAATTTTACAACAATATTAATTAACCAATCGAAATGCATAGAAAATCAAACCTAACTCATTCTGAAAAAAAAAAAAAAAAGATTTCATCCTAAACACGACGGCACTTGCTTTCTACCCTTCCGCTTAATTAAACAGTTGCTTGCTGCTCTCTTCTTACTGCAACGCTATCAAATATGTAAACGTTTCGAAATAGGCATATATGTCAAGTTGTTTGTGGCCTCAACATGTTTACTGAAAAAAAAATGAAGATATAATTTGCTTCGGCTGCCAGTTTCCTATTCATTGTGGATCAACATTCTACGAAATCAAAATTCTTGCTGTTCATTAAGGATTCAACATTCTATATATCTGTGCAATTAATTTTTCGACAGTTTCAATACTTCCAAGTTTCCTTTCATTACAGTGAGTACCTTGTTACATTATATACTATATATAATGCAGAATAAAACGAAAAAAAAAAAATCTGAAATATTTTAGATTTTAAATTACGTCCAAAGTGGCGTTTTTTTAACGTTTTGTGTGTTACCTTTATTTATTAAATATCATGTGCTTTGCACTTAAAACATAAAATTTAGTTCAATAGCAATGTCGTAAAATAATTTTAAAATGAGCCTATCTTTAGACCTTCCGATACACAGTTCGACGCGCTGGAGATAAAAAGGTTTTTTTCCCCGTAGAAAGTTGCTATTGCTCGCTTTTAAATCGTTGAGTTTGTTACTCAAAAATTTGTTAAAGTTTTACAAAATATGAAATCCATAATAAAACAAATTCCAAATTTGAAATTTGGGATTTTAGATGACCATATTCGCAGTAGGATAACGTCATTCAAAATTCGATGGCTCTAGATGCCGTTGTTTTATCACAGTGCGAGAAATATACATTCATTTATGCAGATTTTTCTTTATTTAATTTCTTCAAATATAATACAGGACTCTATCATTTTGTGGCAACAGTTTGAAAAGTGAACTGACATTTATAGGAGTCCGACGCAAAATGCCAAAACGAAAGTAATAGTCCTTCGGGCCTCAATCCCTTTGGACTAATAAGAAATACTTTTAAAATTCTTCCCATATTCAATTCGGAATAAACCACAGGCAAAAAACAAACAAACAAACAAAAAGCATAGTGGCAAACTGCAATAAACACCGATCTAACTGCTGATGATGTAGACCAAAGATGTAAATTTCATTATCATTTTTAAATTTAATTTTATTTTATTTATTTATTTTTTTTTTTAATTTATTTTTTTTTCACGCGTTTTATTCCGAATTGAATATGGGATAAAATTTAAATGTACGTTTAATTTTATTTTGCATTATTCCCAACACTTATTGCTGCTGTTAGCGTGCAACTGTAATAGGTTTTGAAAGGTTTTTTACTTTGTATTTATTCACTCTCACACACATATATAGATATACACATCGTGAGGAAGGCTAGGAATGCTACAACTTACAGATAGAAATGGGAGAATATGAGACTAGAAAGTAAAAAACGGCTGCTATTTCAACCAAATCCAGAATAATTTTTTACATGTTAAAAAAAAACCTAAAACGTTTCTAAGAGTCATAATAAAGTAATATTTATTGCAACACATCAAAGTTATTTACACAAAAATATTTTTGCACTTTGACAGAAGAAATATCACAAGGGCAATCATGTTTCTGAATTTTTCAAATAGCGAAAATTATAACATCGGGGACTTAGGGAAAACCTATTTGCATATAAAATAGACAGTTTTAAGTACAATAAGCCTAAAAAGTACATTATTAACCAGTAATATATATAAACAGTATAGTGTATGAGTGACTTATGATAAACTCAGAAAGGATTCGAAAAATTCGGTTGTTAGAAATTCAGAGAAATGAAAATGCATTTTAATGAGCGTCTTTTGAAGACTATTTTTCACACTTGCAGATAAAATGAAATGTGTAAAGAAATGAAACCTTTCACCCACTACTTTGGATGAGCAGTAATTGAACATTTTCGTGCTCTTTCGAGCTTACACATTTTCAAAATCTATACATGCAGTACTTTTAATGAATCTCACATAAATTAATCTGATGAATAAATTATGATTTAAGCTTAAAATAACATTCCTTTTTTTGTTTTATTAAAAAATCTGGATTCACGTGGAGTAATCAAAAATCTCTCTTAGCATTGTATTTGCATGCACGATGTATATATTCCGTATAGATAAGTCAGGTCATAATCGAGATATGTAGTTAGCATGATATTCGTTACATTCAAACTTATGTGTGTAGCAAGTAGGGTTGATGTCCTGGCTGCCATGGAATACATCTTATTATTTTTTTCCTGCTATAGAGCTGAAACTGGTGGACATATTTTTTTATTCTAATTTTTCGTCCGCCACATGTGGTTAAACGAAGGATCTTCATAAACTGTGTAAAATACATCTTACCACACTATATTACGGGTCCTTATGTTGGTAGTCTCATGAATCAGAAGCTGGATGTCCTGAAATAAAAGACTTTGCCCTACAGTACAAATCTTTTGTTAATCATTCTTTCGTTTCGTATATCCAAAACTTTTTTGCTTCTTTATCTTCTTCACTCTGAAACTTTCGTTGAAGGACGTCAATTTCAGGCATATCAAGATATGAAGATGATTGTTTCATCAATTAATGAGCAGTAAGCAGTGAATTTCTATCGAAAGAGGTCTTTAATTTGATTCGTCACTAAGCAAGAGATAATTTCCTTCAAACCGATTAAATCTATTATGAAGCAGTTTTCTAATACAAATGTTTTGATCACTTCTTGTATTTATTCTTTTCTGAAAGGTATGGACAGGAGTTCATCTCTGGTATTCTGATATTTATTCTAGATGCTATTCTGATTCAGAGTGTATGCAAACCATATTCTCTTTGCTATCATCCATTCCGTCGTTTCTAAGCATGTCCTGTAAATTTCGAATGTACCTGATAGCCATTCTCAATATTTCTACTTTCGACAGCCTTTTGTCCTTGTCTTTTGAACTGATCGGAAGGTGACTTTTTAATCTTTCAAATCCATCATTGACGTTTCGTACTCTCTGCCTCTCTCTTTCGTTCCTTCTGCGAATGAAAGATGGTTCTAACCAATATTCGTACGGTGAAAAAGGCGTTGGAAGAGGTATTTTGCACTGGGGTGCGAAAGGGTCTTTTCCTGTTTTCCCCTCAGTTTGCTCGGAGTCCACTTCCCCATTGCTCAAATTATTAGCACTTGATGTCCCAACCTTTTCCTCTTCCTCTTCTTCTTCCTCATCGCGATCATCTACTTCTGGGCTTGTTAAGTTTCTTGGAGTGACTGGTGGATCTGATCCTGGATCTCCACTAGATCCATTCTCCAGCACTACGGTAGGGCCTAAGGGGGGCATCATATTAACAAATGAATAATGAGGAACTAATTCGCATGGAAGCGTCAGACCCAGATTGACTAGTTGTTCGAAGTCATGCGGCATAACGTCTGGTGTCAGAGATAGAGGAGTAAGCATCGTATATTCTGGCATCTTACCAGATGACATCTTAGGTGATTTAGGAAGAAGTTGCCGTCCACAGCTTCTGTAACAAAGGAAAAAGAGCAATATTTTAATTCAATATCTAGAATCTTTTTTTTTTTTCAAATAAACTGATTTTTGTTTAAACACAAAGTAAACTATAAGCGCTACATAAAAGCCAGAAATTTTTAAAATAAAAAGGAAACGATTGAACATTTGAATCGCTTATACTCTTATTCAAATTTGTCAAGTGCCTGGAAGTAAAGTTTAAACCATGAGACCCATGAGAAAATTTTTAATATCTGGCCATGTTAAAGTTACAGTATCGCTTCCATGTATGCCCTCATTATTAACACACCCGGACAAAAATTGGAAGATTTATGGTTAGACTCCTAGGAATGGCAAATGATTTTTTGCATGTCTTGCTCTGCAAAACGTTGTTATAACAGAGTAGTTATAACCTAACACCACTGCACTAATTTGAACGGCTATAATTACTCGCGCCATTGAAAGATTTGCTCTGTATAATCAAATAATCAAACAGATAACTAAGCATAATAACTTGATTAATTATTAGTAATGAGAAGCTTTTTTTGGCATTACGTATGAACGCAGGTGGTACTGTGCAGGCATTAAAATTTGCGCAGAGAAAGACGCTGTTGTGGTATAATAAAAGAAATTGTCATAAAACAAAAACGAATCTGCATTAGTACACATCAAACGTCTTTAATTGCTTTACTTATCATACATCTCTACATATTAGCCAAAGACATATATTTTGGGTCTTTAACTGCCTTATATATTTTTTCGCTTTTTAAATGTGCAGAAGATATCTAACAAACCAATATCAGTCTAAATGGTGTGTGTATTTAATTATGACAAAGCCCAGTAGGGCTATCTGCTTAAGGGGAGGGATGCGTCAGTCTAAATGTATATTCATCTTATACCCTAAAACATGTTTCACTGTTCTACTTGGGCCATCTCTAAGCCTAATTTTTATTAAATATACAGAAGGTATATGCAAGGTATATAACGATACAGAAGGTATCCTTTATAAATATATAGAATATCTATAACTTCCCATAACAGTCTAAATGCATATTCATTTCATACCCTATAAAATGCTTCGCTATTCTACCTAGGCTAACTCTATCCATAACTTCTTTTAAATGTACAGAAGCTATATAACGGTACAAAAAGTATATAACTATACCGAAGGTATATAATGATATGGAAGGTATCGTTTTTAAAAGTACAGGAAGCTATTATGATGTACCCATGTCAGTCTAAATGCATATTCATCCTATAAAATGTTTCGCTATTTTCCTGGGTCATCTCTATCCGTAATCTCATTGATAAACAGTATTAAAATTAAAAAGAGCCCTTTGGCGCGATTGTTAAAAACCTGAAGCCTTTGAGATTTTTTTTAAATTCTAATTTTTCCTGAACTTTTTTTCTTTTAATGAATTATCCTTTTAAGCCTCTAGTTAACTCAATCTGACTGAAATGCACTAATATTCGAAAATGTGTTTCTTTTTTCAACAGAATGAGGACGATTACATTTCAGTAAACGTTTAAAATTTCCTTATTAGTAGACTACAACGAGAATATGTTGATAGGTTCTGTTGATAGACATAAGCACGAAATAAAGAGACGGTTACGGTTTTAAAGAAATGAAGGAATAGTTGTGAACATAATAATTTGTGTGTAACGATCAGCTTAAAGCGAAAATTTATAACTGACAGACAGGAGATTGTATAAATCCAATCCGTATACATTGATTGAGATTTCAATTAAAGAAAATAGTTTATTGAAAATATCGCAGAATTTGTCTATAGCTTGCAACAGACCCGAGTATATAAATATTATACTTATAAGGCAAGCAAAATGCTTTAAGTTAATCATTCAAACATTACAATTGTTTGTAACGATTAGATTAGAAATTCACGATAAGATTATCAGTACCTTCATGTCTTATTTGAACTACACATTATGTGATTTACATAATGTGTAGTGCACTGTTATTGCTAGGCTTGAATTGTTATTGCTAGGCTAGTTTAAGTTGCACTGTTATTGCTAGGCTAGTTTAAGTGCACTGTTATTGCTAGGCTTGAAATTACTGTATTTCTTCCCTCTACAGGAAGGTTTAAAAATTCAAATGAATTTTTAAGGCGTAGGTGTCCAACCTTGTGCTCGCCGATCGTTTAGTATGTGCTTGCCAGCCCGATTAGGTATTATGAAAAAAAAAATATTTTTAAAAATACCATTCATTTATATTTCTTAATTGTTAAAATATGGTAAACATTTATAGTCATAAGAGATATCTTGCAAGACTTTATAAATAATTAATTGCTGATTGATGAACTTGATAGCAAACATGGAATCTTATTGCTTCATTCCAATGTTAGATGGCTCAGCAGGGGAAAAGTACTTCAACGATTTGTAGAACTTCTTTCGCCAATAAAGCAGTTTTTGGAATCCGGAAACGAAAGTTATGAAGAATTGGATGATAATAATTGGTTATCCGATTTGTATTTTTTCACGGATGTAACAGCTAAACTGAACGAAGATCTCCAGGGAAAAGAAAAAAAAAACCCTTTTTTTTTTAATTGACTGGGACTGTAACTGCTTTTCAGATAAAGTGAAATTTGTGGATAAATCAGATGAAAGAAAACAAATTTCACCCATTTTCAGAATTTTTCAAGCCATATTAATAAAACAATGCAGAAATACTCGGAAACAGAAAATAAAAATACTCTGAAAACCTAATTTCACTAAAAAATAATTTTGAACTCTGCTGAGAAGCAGATTTCCTTATTATTATTCATCTCAAACCAATATTATTATTCATCTCAAATTTCAACCAATATTATTATTCATCTCAAATTTCGATATTTCAGTTGCATCACATAAGATTGGAAATATGTTTAACAAAAATGTTGATGTTTTGGAAATGTGCTCGCGTGAGGCCAAAGATTGGGCACCCCTGTTCTAAGGCTTGCTTGGAGATATTTGATTATGTATAAAGATAACTGAAATAATTTGCAAAGTACAGCATTTGATATTGTCTGATAATGAGCAAATTAAATACATCTTGATGTTTTTCTACCGTAACTTTTCTCGTAAAAATACCAATAAAGCACTTTTTTTTCGGTATGTGGTTTATTTACATTTAATTTCATCCGGGTGATTTTAGTGCATTATTTCTTTTCGGGACACGAGGAACTGATCATTTAATAGAGGGACAGGAAAGTAATGTCGTTTCTGCGCCTGTCGACAACAACATGCTAATGGCAGAAGTGGAAGCAAATCCATGTCAAACACTTTTAACCAACCTTGGTCGACCATCTAAGAACACTTAAAGCAGAATGGAAAAATAAGCAAAGCAGGTTTTTGAGTCCCCCATAATCTGTCCGAAACGAACAAAGACAACCTATCCATCCCATGCAACGTACTGCTTCAACGGCACCATACAGAACCGTTTTTTGATCATTTGATTGGTGGAGACAAAAAACATAAGTCCTATATGATAATCCAAAACTCAAAAGGCTGTTTTAATAGAGGTTACAAAGGGTTTACATCCCGAAAAGGTGGTTCTAGGTGTTTGATGGAATATTCGCGGAATTGTTGATATGGAATTGCTGAAACCTGGAAAAACTGTTAATGTAGACCTTTATTGTGAACAATTGGATCTGGAGTGAACCAATTTTTAATCGAAAAATGTCTGGCGTTTGTCAAAGGCGTCATTCTGCAACACGACAATGCAAGACCGCACTGTGCAAGACGAACACTGGGAAAATATAATGAATTGCGATGGGAGGTACTGCCTCACTCACCATATTCGCCCGATATCGCACCCTCGTATTTCCATTTATTCCGATCCCTACAACATTTTCTTAGAGACAAAAAATTTGAAAATTTGTATGATGTCCAAAATGCCATCTCGAGATATTTTACTCAAAAACCAATTGATTTTTATCGGTCTGGGATTGAAGTCGGCATACTAGATCGCAAAAGGTTGCTGATAACGAGGATGATTATATTATTGATTAAAAATAAAAACTTGTTACAAATTTATTCGTTTGAATTTAACGTAAGAAAGCGACATTCCTTTCCAGTCCCCCTATTATTTTGTGTGCTTAGGATTTCTTTCAACTTATAAAGAAAAGAAAAAAAAATATTGCGTTCTATTCAAAACAAATGTTAAGAATCAACTCGAGAAACATAACTCTGAGTAATTGCATAAAATATAACTGATTAGAGCCATGTCCCCCAAAACGGAAAGTTGTGAAAATATGCATGATTTTTAATCATAATTGATATTTTGGTAAAGATACCTTAGCCATGCCTTTATAATGTAAAAGAACCTATTTTAAATTTGATTTAAATAATTTGGAAGTTAAGAGGTTTTAGGATTTTTTTTTTTTTAAGTAGGAGTCATTAGGAATTTTTTCAAGTAGGAATCACGAATAATGAGCAACGCCCTCGCCAGGACTGCAACCTGGACCTCTTGAATACACGCTGAGTGTGTATTCCAAGAAGTTATGCAGAAAGGAGGGAGACGCCAAGAAGGTATGCAGAAAGGAGGGAGAAAATATCTTAGATACTTCCCCTTTTAAAAGGCGACTGGGGATTAAGGGACCTAATCGCCAAATCCTGTTGGTGAAGAATCATCACCCACCACCTTTTAGTTTGAGCGCCACTGTAGAGTCATTAGATTTTTTTTGATGCGGGAGACGAGAAAAAGGAGCAATGCCTTCTCTGGAACTCCAACCTGGACCTCTCAAATACCTGTCAAGCGTGCTACTGTTACACCACGAAGACATGCAGAAAGGAAAGAAAAATACCTTATAAGGTTAAACATTAAAAGCATGAAAAAACGAATTATCCCTTCGCATGTTTAAGAGATGTAGGTCAGATAATATTTCTGCATGGAAATATGTATATGAACAAGCTGTTAAAATTAATTTATTCCAGTTTTAACAGTTCTTATATGCGTAGATGAATACAATACCGCATACATAAATAAACGTTTGCAATGAACTCATATCTGTTAAATTCACTACA